GATACAAACATTTCGCTTTGCTTTCTTACCATCTCTCTTTTCTTTAACAAGGAGTTTTTACAGTTGCAGTTCACGGATTTTACATCTGTGCCTGTAATAGAATCATAAAATTCAGTTAGCGTTTGGGTGTTTGTGTTTGTTTCGCTAGGCGGGGACGTGGGAATTTGTGTCTGTGTGTGTGTGGGTGCACGCTTGTGAGATGGAAGGAAGAGAAGTTGCCCAGTACTTCCTCAACTCATGACTGAAACTCTTGTTCCAGTTCAAGAAAGAAATGAAAAGCTCTTCAAAATATGATACTGAATACCTTATTCATCTGCTTTATGGAAATTAGAAGAGCCAGCAAATTAAAATTACAGGAAGATCCGAAACAGACTTATTTTCCTTAACAGCAATGTATTTGACCACTTTGACCACTGCCTTTTGCGATTTTAATGTTTTTAAACATTCTCTTTGGCGATGGCTTTTCTTATGCCCCATAGAAGATCCCACTGAAATCATCTGCTAGATGTCACAATTCTTCCCATAATTCCCACTGCGCTAAGTGGCAACTAATCTGGGAACTGTCATGTTTGGAATATACCGTGATGCCACGAGTTAATTTCATCCCTGTCATGAGCTCTTGCATGGGGTCCCGGGGGGACTTGTGGTGTGTCACAGCACGGCAAGCATTCGTTAGCTCCTCTCAAAGCAATGACCCATGGCCAAGAGATCTTGTTGCAACATATGGCAGCATCCGTCACCAGGTTTCATGATTGGCATAAAATTAACCTATTTTCTTCTTTGATTTGTTGCCTTTTTTGCATTGTCCCTGAGAAAAACGAGTAGAAATTGCATTTGGAAGCAATCTACTCTAACTTTTAAGAAGCGTAGTATTAGATTTTCATACTGGGCATAATGAACATGGTGCCTCTGAGGAAGAACAGAAGCTACCAGTCAGTAAAAGTTATCTTGTGGGAATCATTAAATAGAAGTCTGGAAGTCTCTCATAGTAAGGAATGTTTTAGAACAGGCAGTCCTCAAGTCACAAACATCGACTAATGTACACCTCACAACTCACACTTAAGAACAGAACCTATTATAGGCAATGGGTAAATGTACCTGTTCTTACTTACATACAAATTCAACTTAAGAACAAACCTACAATACCTGTCTTGTTTGTAATCCAGGGGCTTCCTGTGTTTGATCTCTCTGAAGGCAAAGGACAGAGCAAGAAATGACATTATTTTGAGACTTCTTGTGAAAGAAAAATCCAGGAGGCGTGGGATTCGGATATGAGTTCATCCTTGCCTTTTAAATGATTTCAAACAACCCTGAGATTCCTCTGATTTCTGTATACATTTCTTTTTTTTTTTTAATTGCAGTTTTTTGCCGGGGCCAGGTTTGAATCCACCACCTCTGGCATTTGGGGCTGGCGCCCTACTTCTTGAGCCACAGGTGCCGCCCTCTGTATACATTTCTCATGCTTAAATGTTAGAATTCTAATGGGGACACACCAAAAGGGACCTGTAGAACAACCATATTCAGAATGATGACAGATATCTTAGGAAAATATACTAATGAGGGTTAGCCTTTAAATCCCCAGCCATTTAGCAATTTTTCTTTTAAAAAAAAAAAGAGCAGAGATGAAAATAGTTAACCATTTATCTATGGTTTTCAATTTCAGTGAAACGGTGAAAAAAAAAAGGTCAAATGATTTCTCAGTTGAGAACGTAGTTGGTTCCTTGCACCCCTGTACTGTTTGGGGGGATCATGTTATATATCTTTTAACATATCCTTAGCGTTCTAAAATATTTATTTTAATAAGAAGTTGCTATTTTTTATACCCAGTCTCTCTTCCTGGTAAGTTATATGCTTAGATTCTGTGAAAATCTATTCAAATTCAGTGAAGAACAAAGATAAATTTAGTAGCTGTTTCCCTTTTACTCGCTACCACTCCCAGAGGATAAATGGTGTTGTTCTTCTATAGTCTGGACTGGTTGCTCTGAACTCTGGAGTAATCCATTTTTCCTGGCGTTTCTTAAATGGTCTTTATTATTCAGCGAATTTCCTCTGAAAGTATAAACATTAGTCCTGTTCTACAGTTTTAGAAATTGATGGCTGCTGTTCGTGAAGGATAGTAGAGTTGGGATGATTGAAGGCCTGTAGCAAAAACAGCTGAATTAAAACAATGGAGAGGAGGGAAGAGAGACCAGAGACAATAACAGAGGTGGGCAGCACTGCGAGGTGATCCCAAGTAGGGACTGGGGACTTCAAGGCTGCTTACACTTGATTAATAGATGCTATAAAAATGAAATGCTGAGCCAAGAAAAAAAAATTGCACTTGAGAAGTCACTTGAAAATGTGTTAATGCCTTTACTTGGCAAGCATTTTTTCTCACCCTGAGAATATAAGCATTGCATGAAAATATAGATCTTTTTTTCCTGTTGAATAATATGTGTGTGTGTGTGTGTGTGTGTGTGTGTGTGTGTATACTGCTGATTATGGTTATGTGGGGATGAGATCAGATTTCCGCTAGCCAGAAAGGAAACCAAAAAAGAAGGAAAAAAAGAAAGTAAGTAAAGACTCTAGAAATATAAGAGATACTTTCTTACATCTCTGTTTTGGGGGTCTGGCTCTTCAGGTAAAGTCAGGATCAGGATCAAATTTAAAAGTAAAACACATGTTTAAAAATGTTCTTGATAAACAAAAGACATTTCTTTTAATGGCAGCAATTGTGATAGCAATTTTGTCCCTACCAGAATGGAGGATGTTGTATGCATTTTTCAGGAGATTGTGGTGCTGACATGAGTATTAAACCGCTTTCCAACAAAATATGCGAATACAACTGAAAATCAGTCTTTTTCTTAAAAGAGAAGAAAACAATCTCTGGCAAATTATTTATTACTAACAGTCAGCTGAGGACCTACCAAATAATTTACATAAGATTAAAGTGATAAAACATTTTTATTGCTGGTAAAATTGAATCCAAAACTCCTTCTGGTAATTTTACTATATTGAGTAGGATCTGAGAAAGACAGTCGGACCTTGTTTAGAGGGAAGTGTCCAAGAATGGTCCCAGACGCAGGAGTCAGAGCTTCCACCACTGTAAGCTATCGCCTTGGCCATCACCAACTAAGTAACCCTTTCTATGAGAAGGGGTGAGTAAAGGGTAAAGAGATGAACCAGGAGAATTTTTGTTTGTTTTAGTTGTGTCATTAGTTTAGTAAAATACTCTTATGGGAAAATAAAAGAAAATAAAATAACCTTTCTTTCCTGATTTTAGGAGTTTACTGACAGTAAGGGCTCCTGTCAACACACACATGCATGCACACATGTACAAATAGGATGTGTGTGTGTATTTTTACCTATAGTTCCATCACCCAGGCTAGAGTGGAGTGGTATAATCATAGCTTACTGCAACTTTCAACTTCTGAGCTCAAGCAATTTTCCCATTTCAGCTTCCTGATTATTTAGGACTACAGGCAGATGCCATCATGCCTGGCTAATTTTTAATTTTTTTTAATTGGCTCTTACTTTGTTGCCCGGGCTGGTCTCAAACTCAGTAGAGATCTTACCAGAGCAAAGACTGACCTCCCAGAGCAAAAAGGAATACTGCCAACAGACAACAATTGGACATACATGGCAGCTCAGCTTCTCCCCAAGTCTCTATCTGGCCTGCTGGCCTATCTTACAGACTTAGTAAATCTCCACAATTGCGTGACCCAATTCCTCAGTGTAAATCTCACCCTGTCTGTTTCTCTCTAACCATATAGGCATATTTTCTTGGCTCTGTTTCTCTGGAGAAGTCCTGCTAACACAGATCTGTTCCTCTTTGGTATAGTGGCTCTGTGACTTGCTGTTAAGCTATTCCACTGTTCTCCGGAAGCTTGTGGAAACCTCTGGATCCCTTCACGTCTTATATTTCCTGTTGCTTTTCTACCTAGTTGTTTAATCTGCCATTGGAAGTGAGATGTTGAAATCTATTAGTGTTGAGTTGTCTGTCTCTCTTCAACTCTGTCAGGTTTTCCTTCTATATTTTGGTGCTAATGTTAGCATATGTGTGTTTATAATTGTTATATTTCTTGATGGGTTGTCATTATAAAATATTCATCTTTGTCTCTCGTAACAATTTTTGTCTTAACCTCTATTTTGTCTAATGTTAATATAGCTGCCCCAGGTCTGTCTACACATTTTTCTTATTATTTTATGCTTTCAACCTATAATATTTTTGAATCTTAAGGTTATCTCTTTTAGATAGCTCATAATTGTATCATTACTAAAACCTATTCTCCCAATCTCTGCTTTTAATTATAATGTTTAATCCATTCACATTTAATGCAATTGCTAGGTAGAATTGATATCTGGCATTTTGCAATTTTTTCCTCTATGTCTATGTTTCTTAGTCTTCCATTACTACCTTTTGTGTTAAATTAACATTTCCAGTTGTATAATTTTATTTCCCTTGTTTCTTTTACTGTATTTTAAAAATTATTTTCTTAGTAGCTGCCCAGGGGAATGCAATTAGTATTTTACTAAAATACTCTAGAACAAAAGAATACTAACTTCATTTAAAAGTACATAGAAACTTTGTTTCAATACATTTTTGTTACTTGCTCCCTCCTTTGCTTGTATTGTCAGACAAATTATGCTTTTAAATCCATCAACGCAGTATCACAATTATTGCTCTAGGTGGTTGTCTTTTAATCAGGAAAAGAAAACAGTTACACAAATGCATTTGTCCTATCTTTTTTAGTTTTCTTTACTGTGGTTTTTATTTCTTTGTGTAGGTTCATATTAATATCTAGCATTCTATTATTTCAGCTTAAAAGATTCACCTTAATCTGTAATTTTTCTTGTGGGACAGGTCTACTACCAGGAAATTCTCCTATTTTCTGTTTACCCAAGAATGTCTTAATTTTTTCACAATTTTTGAAGAAGAGTTTTGCTGGACATAGAATTCTTGATTGACTGGTTGGCTGTCGTCTTTTTTCATTCAGCACTTTGAGTAAGTCCTCCCACTGAAAAATGTGGACAGCTTCACACCTTTGCGTGTGATCTTTGTACAAGGTCCATGGTAATCTCTGTATCATTCCAATTTGGGTATTGTATAACTTGCCAAAGCAAGGATTCTGGAACCCTCCATACTGAAATAGAAATGAGGACAATTTGGGGAAAGATACTATGTTACTTCTCTCTAAGCCCTGTCCTTACCATTTCTAATCTCTCTTCTGGATCATGTAGAATGCAGTGTCTCTCCAAGGAAATAAAATATTTGTGTTCAAGCATCTGGTGATTTTCTAACATCCTCTGCTCAAGCTGTTTCCCTAGAGTCCAGTTTTCTACCTCACCACACAGAGAACCATTCTATCCACAGGGAATGAACAGGTCATCCATTTCTCACTTAACACGATGATTGTCGTACCTTTCATTTGAGAAAGACATTAATACATTTGTTTGATTAAGTATATAACTAAAAATCAGTGATCAGCTTCCAATTATAGCTACTGTCCTCACAAATATCATCAGCATTTAATACCAAAATTACCATGCAGATTTCACCTAATATTTCCATATATCTTTTCACGCAATCCACTATTTTGTTATTAAACAGAAGCAATTCTATGGAGACATGATTAGATGATAGGAAGAGCATAAGTTTCCCGACATTAGAATCCTATGTAACTGATTTCAGTCCTGCACAGACTGTTTTGACTACGATTTGTGTATATGTACCTAACTCTGGAGGACCCATTCATCTGTGTGGCCACCCTTCCAATCATCAGTCCAGCCAGCTTCCTATTCGTCTTTCTGTCAATCTGACGTATAGTATGTCTTTTCTTTCTCAGGAATTCAATTTGATGTTGGCTAATGAATGTGTGCTAATTTCACATGAAAAATAGAGACTAGTATAAAGAAATGGTATTATTGAAATTCGGGGTTTCATAATTTTGGGGGGAGGGGCTACCCCCTGTAATGTACAATGCTTAGCAGCCTCATTCCTGGCTTTTCAAAAGATGCCAATGTTATCTTCCCATTTGTGATGACCAGAGATGTTTCTAGAAACTGTGAAATACTTGTGAAGGCAAAAATCCCTCTTCTCAACCCCTTTTTGAACCACTTGTATAATGGCATTCTTTCCTTCTTTCATCATGATAGGCATGATATAAATATTTAATAATGACTACTAATTGGAATGTGTATTGGATAAATGGATATATTTACATTTGTGCCTTCCCGATATCATTCTCTCGCTCATTAGTCCATCTACTCGTATGTCGTTCAACACACACTGTGTACGCATCATGTGCATAGTACTTTTCTAGGTGGTGGTTATACGTCAGTGAAATCTAAGTTTCTGCCCTGGTGGGACATAAAGATTTTTGGTGGAGCTAGAATGACTGGGAGCTACGTGGAAAGGAGATGCCATTTAAGATGAGAACTGAATAATAAGAGGGCAACAAAGCAAAGATGTGAATAAACTATTCCTTAATGTTGACTTACCTTAGGGCATACAAAGTTCATGCTAGGAGCGCAAAGACATGACAATTTGGTTGGATATAAACTTACTCTTCTACCCGTACCTGTGAGGAACACCAGCATGTTCGTGGGGAAACTATTTGCAACTGTTCCAAACTATTTGAAAGTCTACAAGTGTTTTTAAAACTTTTTTTTCTTAATTTTAAAGTCATTTCTTAAAACAGGGTTTTTCTTTTGCTTTCTGTGGCCACTGCTAATGAAACAATGATACCGTGTTGGTGCTTAGGAAAGAGAAACAGTTGCAGTGAAAGAGAAGTGTTTCCAGGCTCATGATGACTCCTATTCAGTTTGTCCCGTTTTGTTTTTCTCGGGCAGTTTTATTCTCCTTGCATTTTCATAATTGAACATAATTATACTAATGAATAATACATGAATATAATTCATAATGCACTTAATTCATAACGTTCATTACCCTCATTTTCATAATCCTGATCCCCAGTCAGAGAGATTACCTTCAAAGGTAGGCTCTCAAAGCTTTGAGCTCCAGATGCCCAGGACCACCCCGCTCTCTGCATGGATGCACCCACTTTGGCCCCTGCAAAACACCCACTACCGTGGCTAATTTTTTCATTAACATTTTCTGATGTTGTATATCAACATATGAAAGCATATAGCATATCATAGATCTATCCATAAATTATATTTCTCATTATTAGAATGCAAATTCTACCAGGTCAGTAATGAAGTCTGTCATTTACCCTGTATCAGTCACATACAGACCCTCAAGAGAGAGAATGTTGAAGAGCTTTCCTTTTCCTGGAAACTCTAATTGCCACTTGCCAGGTTTACACATGTGGATTCTCTCACCTTCTCCTATATAAATGTACTCTGAAATATGAACAGCACATGCGTTCGTAGTTATTTATGCAATAGACTTGTTTGGAAAACATGATGGAGATACCTTTTTATAATCTTTGAATCCATCTTAAGATTTCTCAGATAGAAATTATAAATCCCAGTCTTTGCTTTGCTATAATTAACTCTGCAGGTGATATTTGCAATTCATGGATCTAACTGGATTTAATAAGAAATAATTAAATTTCCAGTTATTTCATTTACTAATAGGCAGATATATTAGTATATGCCTTCAAGTGCTAGATAGAGTTTAGAAAGGATCATTTTTGTTCTGGTAGCACATAGACACAATGTTCCATTGATGTTCTTTAGCTAGCTTTTTTTTTACTTGGACTCTAATTGAAATATTTCTGCCTCAGAAGACAGGGTGAGATAAAGCTAATTTCAAGTGCCTAAGTTAACACAGTAAGTACAATCAGTGCATTTTTCACTGGAAAGTTCATCACTATTTTACAATTTACTTTCATTTTCGATTAGAGGTGTTGGTTAATCTGTTATCGTCTCTCCCTCACTTCAATCATTCTTACTAGTTTTAGGTGCCAAACATGTGTAGCATTTACATACACACATGCATAATTTACATAGACACATATACGATTCACAATATAGCCATAAGGTAATTAGCAATTGGTTGCAGTTTGCTGCTAATGAGTTCAAGGTTACAGATTTACCGTTCCTCTGAGTCTGTCTTTTGGCCCAATTCCATTGCCACAGATTCTACCCTGACCCCTGGGCTGCTGTTTCACAAATGTCATTTGTCACAGGAGGGGGCCTCAGAGGAGAATGTGAGTGCTTCTCTGCCAACCCCCTACCGGTATCTCCTAGTCAGGGCGCTCAGCATTTTCCTGACAAATGGCATGGGCGGGGTGTGCTCCGTCTTTGCATTCTCTGTGTGTCAGCCTTGGTCCACAGGGAATGGACAGTGAAGTGTTTTTAAATCAACAGGACCAGTAACACCATCTTTCTCTATAGATGACAACTTATCGTTAGATGTAGTTTGGGATGACTCATTAATTGTGCTGCTGAAAAATACTTTAGAAAATATTTAGAATTTTAATCAATTTAGTCTTATTGGATGAAGACTACCATGTTTTGAAAAGCAAGTCTTTAAATTTGTTGTTTTCTGTTTTGCTCTTTCTTTATTTTATTCTTTCATTGGTTTTTATCAGTATCTCTTCCAAATCAACTAAATCAAGCCAAAGTACAATATGAAGAATGATCAAGGGCAAAATTAGTGAGAAGTAAAAGCCTAGAATTCAGGTGAAAAAAATATAGTATCTTGGGGTGGTGCCTGTGGCTCAAGGAGTAGGGTGCCGGCCCATATATCAGGAGTGGTGGGTTGAAGCTCGGCCTCAGCCAAAACTGCAAAAAAAAAAAGGATCTTGGCCTCATTTATTTTGCTTTAATTTCTCGGACTTACTCCTTTAACAATTGTTTTTCGTGTAAAAGGGAGTTGGGAAATAACTGTTTAAATAATACCTACTCTGAAATTACAGGGGCATTTTTTGCAAGGTTAGTTTTATTTATTTTTATCTTAAAGGCAGAAGCCTTGGCATCACATTTAATTTTGTGAATGAACTTCTCTATAACATGTTACCTAACCCTTGGAATTTTTTGCTTTATCCTCTATTGTGGGTTAAGATAAGTGGGTTTATTCTGAGACTAACTTATAAATATGAGAAAAGTTGTAAAATCTAGCTAAAACCAGAAAAATATTTATTCAATGCTCATTACTCACAGTAGTTATGTTCCATGAATCTCTGCAGTTTCTGCAAACACTGGGTTAGTGCATACTGAGCTGTTGTTCCTGGAATAAACATAGCCTTTGGGCACGTTCATCAACCTATCAATACATCACTTTATTCGATATGTCTTTCTATTTAATAACACCGTATTTAATGTATTTGGTTGATTCAGTATCATTGTATTCATAGCCAAAAGCACTAAAGTCTATGCCTCACGGAAGCTTATGTGATACCTGGCTTTTCTTCATCAGGCTCATCCCAGCCTCCCTTGTGTTTGAAATCCTAGACAGAACTTCAGCACTTAAATAGCCACTCATTATAAATAGCAGAATCATGAACAAAAAAAAAAAAAAACACAAAAATGAGAAAAACTAAACAGACCACGAAAGGACACGTAGCATTGACAGGTGAAACAAGAACATGGAGCATCACTTGGTCAGTTTCAGCTGGGAAGATGTATATGAGAATACTTAATTTTTTTTTTCTTGCTGTGCACAAAAGGACCACGCAAGTGCTGTCTTGATGTTGGAGTTACAATTTAATTTCATTCAGTAAATGAATTTGCAAATACAGAATCTGTGAATAATGAGGACAGACTGGTGTATGCATTCTAGGGTAGAAAGGGAAAAGTTCCTCCTAATCACTTAATGAGCCAGAGAAAGACCTTGCTTTCGTGTTTCTTTCCCTCCTTTTGTTCTTTATTTGCTTAATTGAGTGACAAATTCTAGTTAGTCATGCCTGACTAATATCATTTAGGGAAAAACGTCTTCATCACTCTCTACTTCCAACTGTGGCCCTGTACCTGGAATATAGTAAATATTCAATTAATGTTTGTTGAAGTGCTGAAGCAGTGCCTGAAGTCCTCTGTTCATTTGGAACCTTATGGAATTGCTTAGCACATCAAATTCTATATATATATATTTATGTGTATGATTATAGTTGAAATCTCCCATATCCAAGATATCTATGTGGAGAATGTTCATTGTTC